ATGAAAGTAGATATGAAATTGATACAGTATGATGGGAATCCTGATGTGCACAAGCTGTATTACATGTAGGTAGATCTGAACCAAAGTAAATGTTTTTTTCATTCACACTTTATTTTAAGGTCCAGTTCTCACCGTTAACAAACCATTAACTATGACTTTTGCCTCAATAAACTCCTAATTAGCTGCTTATTAGTAAGGTAGTTAAGTTTAGGAATTGAGCAGGATTAGGGATGTAGAATATGCTCATGCAGAATATGTACTTTATAAGCACTAATAAACAGCTAATATGTTATTAATAGGCATGCTAATAAGCAACTTGTTAATAGTGAGAATTGGTCCCTATTAGGGCTGTCAGTTTAACGAGTTAACTTAATTAATTAGTTATATAGTTAAAAAATATTTTAACGCAGTTAACGCACTGGCCCCGCCCCCAGACCTGTACGTCATCTTATTAGTTGACAGTTGACAAATATGATGCAGGACAACAACTCCATAAATGCAGTTATGCCATAAAATACAAGATATTGGGGCAAAAAATGCCCTGTATGAATTTTTGTCTCATATATATACCACATGATAAGCGATATCACACCAGCAGCGAGAGCAATATCACACGAGTGCTGTTTTTGTCACGAAGAACACGAGTGCAAATGTGATTTTATACAACAATTCAGTAAATAATAAATTAATATTGTGTTATGTTTTTAAACACAATATTGTGTGTTTTTGTTCAATTTTGCCAGCGAAAATATTACCTATAAAGCCACAGCAGAATTGTTGTGCATCTGTGAGCAACACAGCGGTGTTTAATTTCTGAATGAATCTGTGGTTTTGAACGAATCATGTGAACCAATGATTCAAATAGAGAGCCGTTTACTGAATTCCTGAATGAATCAGGCATTTGAATGAATCGTGTGAATCAATGATTCAAAGAGAGAGCCGTTTACTGAATTCCTGAATGAATCAGGCGTTTGAACGAATCGTGTGAATCAATGATTCAAAGAGAGAGCCGTTTACTGAATTCCTGAATGAATCAGGCGTTTGAACGAATCGTGTGAATCAATGATTCAAAGAGAGAGCCGTTTACTGAATTCCTGAATGAATCAGGCGTTTGAACGAAGTTTCTTCTTTAGAGTATCATTTCATTTATAAAAATAAATAAAAATAAAAAACATTAAAGGTAAAGTTCACCAAAAATAAATCAATAAATTCTGTCATCATTTACTCACCCTCATGTTGTTTCAAACCTGAATGATTTGCTTTCTTTTGCACAACATAAAAGAAGGTATTTTGAATAGCCTACTGTTGGTAACTAAGCTGTTTTAGTCACTAGTGACTTTCATTGCATGAACATAAAATACTGAGATGTTTCTCGAATTATCTTCTTTTATGTTCCATACTTTATGTTAGGCCATTGTAGCCTAAACATTTAACAAAATAATAGCTTTAAATTATCTTTTGGGGGTATTTTCCCAGCCAAATTTAGTTTGCGATTAATTAGATTAATTAATTGCAGCACCCTGTAATTAATTAGATTAAAAATTTTAATCGACTGACAGCCCTAGTCCCTATACTAAAGTGTTACCGTTTTTTTCTTATTACATAGATGTCAGTTATATGAGCAAACAGTCAGTAATTAAACTGCTATAAATCTCAAAGTTCACACACATGTAAATTTCACTGAGTGAGTCAGATGGTAATTCAGTAAGTTATTGATAGCCATGACTTGTTAAATCTGGCTCTGCCGGATTCAGTGGAGAACTCTTTCAAATGATTCAAAACAAGAGTAACTTCATCAGTTGATTAACAGAGCCGGCTCATATGCAGTGTATTTGTTTTTGTGTGTGGCTAGTGAAGAGGTCAGCAGAAAGACATCTTGTCTTTGTATTATTCCTCACACAAATAACTGTATCAGTTTTCCCCCGTCTCTTTCCTCCTCACCCAGAGGAGCACTTCAGCTGCCTTAGGAGTTCATACACAATGGTTTTTATTTTATATATTAACTAACAGAGACAGAAAAGAGAGGAACACACAATTACTAGGAAGCCTAAATACTTGCTGCAGTTGTGTTTGACTCCTCTAAATTGTATTCATTAACTGTTAATTAATTATATAAACATATTTACTGATTATTTCATTTATGGATTATTTACAGATTATTATTTACTGATTATTACACTCAAATGAGTGTCTGAGCTGATTTAACTGAGAGACACTTGCACTGACTGATCTTAAAATGTGTCAGTTCCATTGTTTTGCCTCAAGACGCACAATAGTGATGTTTTTTTTCTAAGGCATGTTCATAAAAGCTACTTAAATGATCTAACTGAACTATGGCCTAGCCTAAACCCTGTCTGTGAAACCAGGCCTAAATTTTGCAACCTGATTCATGTATTCATTTATTACAGGTGCTCTGAACAAAACTTCAGCGCATGCACCACATTTAGAAACAGAGAAAGTCACCATGATAATGTCACCGGAGCTAAGAAAGCTGACACATGATGAACCTCATTAGCAAATATTCAGTCTCATTCACCGAGACGTATTACTGAAATAAACAGAGACATATTCGTAACAATGTACGCAAACACATGCATCACAGTACTGTGCATGTCTCTTTGAATCCAAGCTGAGGAAACAGTCAGATTCGAACATTTACATCCTTCTCTTTTCCTACTGATGGGGTTATTTCCAGTCTACACCACCCCCATCAATCTGATCCAAATTTCATTCAGATCCAACTCATTTGGATCGGCTGAGGTGTTTACATGAAGTCTTTTCAGTCTAAATGAGCCATCAGTCTGCTTAGGTTACATTCTGTGGCCCAAATCCGATATTTTTTGCTCACATGTGACTCAGATCTGTTTTTGTCATGACAGTGTGAACAGCATAAACACCACATGCAATCTGATCTTTTCAATTCAGACCAAAAAAATGTGACTCGTGAGCAAAAAAATATCGGATTTGGGCCACATTGGCCTGCAGTGTGAACATAGCCCCTGTATGTATCGTACTTTTGCGCATACAGTTCAGTTCAGAACCATGATCTGTTCACACTGTAAATCTAATATTGGCCACATTTAAAACAACAATGTGAACAGCTATACAAAAAAAATCGGAATTGAGCACTAAGGCTGACAGTGTGAATGTAGGAAAAGAGGATGTGTGTGCATTAGTGCTGTCAAAATTAGCACGTTAACGCAGGCGATTCATTTTTCCAGTTTAACGCGTTCAAAATATTTAACGCAATTAATGCAGGGGCGGGGCTAGGTTTGGCCACCCCACTCACAACTGCTAAAGTATTATGTTTATTCAGACCGGGTGTGCCTCACACTTCATGAAAAGTGAAGCTGCGGGCTCTTTGATCGCCCCCTGGTGGCTGGCTGCAATCATCCCGCTGATATATGTTCAAATGTTAGTTTTTGTGATAAATTTGATTTTAGCTAGTCATTTGATGCTATAAAAACGGGGCATGTCGTTAATGTTGATTGGGTCTGCGGGAGTTTGGGCGGGAGTTTGATACCGCGGCTCCACCTTACAACACTACTGCGCAGACTCTGGCTCCAAACAAATCTCTACTGCGCAGACTCAGGCTCCAAACAAATCTCTACTGCGCAGACTCGGTAATGTAATTTACTCAAGATGGCAGCGGCCATACTGAGATGCTTTGGCTTCACTTTTCTATAGTGAAAGGAATAGGAGACGCGTCGTCCATCTTTTTTTACAGTCTATGATACGGAAGTAAAATGACCTTTAAAGGTGCTGTGTGTAGATTTTAGCGGCATCTAGTGGTGATGTTGCGAATTGCAACAACCGGATTAGCCCCTACCCTCGCCTCTTCCCTTGAGAAGCTACAGCTGCCGACTCAGGGCAAAGATGTCGTCATCTGAGAGTTCTGTTTTTTTCAGTTTTAATTTTTCTGGACTCCTTTTTAATTGTTAAATTACATTTTATTAATCAAAAAATTGTCCTTCGCTTTTCTATAGTGGAAGGAAGTGGAGACGCATCGTCCATCTTACATTTTTACAGTCTATGATTCAGACGCAGAACGTCTTTACGAGCACATCAAACAGGAAACTTTTCAGACGCGCACTCTTCACCTCAGCGCCAGGCACGATTCAAACGAGTGTGGAAACGGTACCAGTGACGAGGAGCTTCAGTAGAACAACAGTGAACTGCGGTCAGATGAGATGTTGTCAGGACATATGTCAGTAAAAACGAATCTTCTAGTCCTGTCAGTCATTATACTGTGCTCTTCAAATGCACGCACAAATGTGGCGGCGCACGCTGTATTAGGTTATATTAAAGCGCTGTATCATATTCAAACTGTATTGAAACTACGAGTATGCAATGTCATAATTATGTCGTCAGTTAAGTCATGAAGTTACAAAAAAAGGCAATTGAAGCTTGCCTTAAAACTGTGCATGCAAGTAGTTATTATTTATGAGTCACGTTTTAAAGCAGTATCAGATCTGTGCAGTATCAGTCAAGTTCAGCAGCGATAGCTCTTAAAGTAGCAGCAAAAATATCCTAATAATCAACTGCTGTGATGTCTGTCAATCAAAGAACAAAATAAAAAGGAGGAAATCAATAACTTCTGTAGTTGTAAGCTTTATCTCAATTTAACTTAGCATTTAGTGTTAAAAGTGATTTTTTTTTAAGTCTAATAAATGTTAAATTGATAGCTGTAATGTTATACTGTAATGTTGAATGGATAGTCAATGGTTAAATATTTTAAAAAACATTATAGAGACATCAGCTGGTTTCAGTGATACTTGCCTTCAGTCATAAAAAAGACGGCATTAAACAAATATTAAAAATATACATTGTTGTTTTTCCATTAATTTGAAGATTGAATGTGAAATTATTACAATATAAAAGTATAATTAAAAACTGTAACGTTAGGTGGGATTAATTGCAATTAATTTCAGAAAACATGTGCGATTAGTTATTTTATTTAGTCGATTGCCAGCACTAGTGTGCATGTAAAGATGTGTTACCTGTGTGAGCACGTCCAGCTGTCCTACGATGTGCTGGAGGGTGCTGGCGAGCGCAGCGGGAACACTGTCCGGCTGACCGGCTCCAGGGCTGACCGGAGCGGTGCTGCTGCTCTTCTGTGAGGACACACCGCCGGCTCTGGACTCCTGCGGGAGCGATGGGAAACCGTGAGCGTCACTGAGGACTACCAACACCCGACTGAAAGAGTGTTATGCCAGGCAAACTCAAGATAGCGACAGATCTTTCCTTCTGTATTGTGACGTGCATCTGAGCGTAACAGGTTAATGAAGTAGAGCTCTATGATTTCTGTGATGCGGAAAATGCGGATGGAATCGCGGAATCAGTCATAAAAATGGAATTTACTGTATAATGCAGAATGTCACGGAATTTGTCAAAGTTTGGATGAATTAATCAAAAGTAGGTCATTACACTTAGATGAAATCGCGATATGGACTAGTATCTAAATATTAAGCTGCAAAAAGACTATTTAAATACGAATCCTGTGTTCTGCGTGTCTCTGTGTGAATGAATGGCGCAGACGCGTGGTTTCGTTTACTACACACATACTGAAGAGCGGACGCTCGCGGTAATTTCAGCATCTGTCGTCTCACTAAATGAGGAACAACATCTCCATTACTGCTCTGAGAGTCACTTCATGATCACTTTACCATTTCATTTGAGTAAAACTAGATATTCACGGCAACCTGTCAAAATAAAAGTACGGTATAACTTGAAGACATAATTGTGGCAGAAATATATTAGGCTACTATTGTTCAGCAGAATGTATGTAATACTACTACTATTACTAAAATTATTACAACTTTATTTTTATAAGGAATAATCACACAATATTTCGTTCATGTTTTAATTTTAATAGTAAATCCCATTTGTTTGCCAAGAAATAAAGTTTAAATTTCATTTGATTAAAGGATAAATTAAATGAATGTTTTATGCCTTCCTGTGATGACCGGTTAAATTTAAATACAAAACACACAATTTCTTAGGGATATTGAAAAAATTAATTTTAATAAACTAAGTTATTGTCTGCATTAAAATTAAACATGCTTGAACAGAATTGGGTAACAATAAAACAGAAGGGGAGGAAAAAAATAAAACATTACAGAGGGCTGTAAACAACTTTTTGTTAAACTTCAAGGTTCATGACTTTAATTTAACTAGACATGCTTTTTAATTCATAACATTAAATCTAACAATTAAAAAAGAGTCCAGAGAGAAAAAAAAAAAAAACGAATCTAGAAAAATTAAAACGGGAAAAAAACGGAATTTGGAAAAAAATAAAATGGAATTTGAGAAAAATAAAACAGATTTCATAGGGCCCTATTGAAGCAAAAAATGTAGAGTGGCTGTTTGATGCTTCAGTTGTTGATTGGATGACTGTATGTGGGCGTGGCTCAAACGTGTATGCAGATGAGCATCAGCTCTGCAGGGGCGGAGTTTAAGAGCACTAAATGATTGAAGAAATCCTGCATACGTCACAGAGAGAAGACTGACCATTCAACTCAAAGATCCAGTTTTGACATTATAGACATTTTTTAGAAAACAGACGGGTAGCTTTCATTTCATGCCGACTTCAAGGTTTAGTTTACTTAGTGGCCATCTTGACGATGCATATTTAGACATATATACGGATAGCTCCAACCAGAGGAGAAGAGAATCTCCTTATCTGTTTGTCAAAAATGACTTAAAGGGGTCATCGGATGCAAAATGCACTTTTACATGTTGTTTGAACATAAATGTGTGTTGGCAGTGTGTGTACACAACCACCCTATAATGATAAAAATCCACCCAGTGTTTTTTTTTTTTAATCTCTATAAAAAATATCCTTTTTCAAATCAAGCCGTTCTCAGATTCTTGGCTGTGTGACGTCACACAGACCCAGGCCCCTCCCACGACTGTTGATTGACACTGGTGTTTAATCACAGCTCCGCCCTGAGTGAGCTGTCATCAGTCCACCATTGTTTCACTGCCGGAGCAGATGTAGACAAGAATGGCTCCTAAGAGATTGAGGTGTTCTGTTGTTGGATGTAATAATGAACATAGCAGTCGTCATTTACTCCCGACATCTGAGCCGCTGAAGACACAGTGGATTACGTTTGTTTTTGAAGGGAATGCGCCACCAATCTGCCTAAATGCGTCTATGTTCGCACTAATCATTCGTGATCCAGCTTCACCTACAGAAGTGAGTATAAGGGTTTTTAATGAATCTTTGCAAATCGCCTTTCCTAATAATGTGCTAGTTAGCAAGTTCCGCAGCTAAAGTAAACAGTTTCTCAGAGAACGCTCATTAGCATTTAAAGAAACATGCACCGAAACGGCTCGATGTGAACAGAGCTGATTTTGACAGGGTAAAAAGGGTGTTGTTTTACACTACCACTGAGAAATTTTAACAAGTATGTTATAGACTTTTCATTAAGACCCTAAAGAATCATATCAACTTGTGGAAAATGGGCATCCGATGACCCCTTTAAAACATTTTCAGCCCATTTAGTGTGCATGTGCGATTTAGAGTAAACTAATGTGATAAAAAATGACTGGCTCTAATCTCAGCGGTGTGATTATTTTAGTGTTTGATTGACACGTGAGTAGGCGGTCCTTCACTGATGCATTCATGTTCAAGATAAAGTTGAAGTGTTCAGAAGTGTTTCTGATTAGTGTTTCTGATGATAGTTTGAGGAATCATGCAAGCATGTTGCAATAGTTTAATTAAAGTGCTGAGGGGAATGCAAAGGTCAGCTGTTATCTGGTTACAGTATTATGGACACAAACGAGATTAATAGCATACGGGACGGATCGCCACGGGAAGAAAAGAGGACGCGGAAAAGCCATCAACATTACAACAGCTCCATCAATAAAACATATTACACCAATATTAAACCCAAGACGACAATGATTCAAGACACTAATATGTGCTTTTACCACCTCAAATGGTACGTGTCAAGTGTACATTTCGCTCACAGGCGTCGCTTGACGTTTGTGTTTGGGGGAACAAACCAAGCCAGTCGATTTCGCCGGTCAAAATTTTAGACACATTTTAGCATTTCTAGAGTAAACTTACAAATACACACTCGGTGTTTGTACTATGATTACAGCAAGTGTGTGAAGTCGCCATACATTGCAAGTGAATTACTTGTAAAGGTTGCGCTTGTCTATTTTTGCTGCGCTAGCAATAAACGTTGAAAATAAGGCACCATAAACTTCTGAGTTGAAAATATTATTGATTAACAGATTTTTAGTAAAATCTTTCAACAAGCTACGCCCATGATTACACTCATGATTTTCCCTTGTATATAAGACTCAGTAAGTCTGATGGGTGGAGTTTCATGACAGTAATCCACATTAAACCTCTGCATCATCACAATGAACCTGAAAGCACAGCCTCAGAGACTTATGTTTCCAAGCGTTTAACTGTATGTAGTTGTTGCTCAGTGTAATTATTGTTGAGGGTGCTGCTCATTATTGAAAATGAAGGAGCAGAAAGTGTAAAAGCATCTTAAATCAGGAGAACAGATGGTGTGAAATGAGCTCATGACTGACACTGATGGGAGAGAACAAGACTGAGCGAGAGTGAGTCCGGCCTGCTTTGTTCACAGACCCACAATCAACTGTCCAAAACACAAAGGTCAGACATCTGAAGCTTCAGGCAGATTCATCTGTTCAACCTCAACCTATGAAACGTCATTTTATTGGTTTTAGACTCTGAGCAGCCAATATCTCACCGCATAAACACACTGTTGTCTGAGACTATGTCCCCACTGCAAGTGGAGCTCTATGTAATGTAGTCCGGCTCATATTTTAAGATTGGACGGGATCCTCTGGGGAAGCAGCTTTATGCAGAAATCACTGAACAGAAGTAAAGAGAAACAAAATCTGCTATATTGAGTGTCACTCAACTTATCCGTGTTGATGAGCTTCCACTGAGTGATGAAAACTATAGTTTGTTTGGTCACCCATCAGCCTCCTGTGTTGCTGTAAGTAGGGCTCTATGATGTGGAAAACGAGGACAGAATCGTGGAATCCAGTCATAATAAAAACAGAATTTACTGTATAACGTGGAATGCCATGGAATTTGACAAATTTTGAATGAAGAAATCAAAAGTAGGTCAGTACAGTAAAATAAAAACGTGATATGGACTAGTGTCTGTCAATATTAAGCCGCAAAAATAACATTTAAATATGAATTGTGCATGTTCTGCGCGTCTATGTGTGGATTGGTTTCCTTTACTACACACACATACTGAAACACAGTGATCTCAGCCTATGAACACATGAACATAATCTCTAGAACTGCTCTGAGGGTCACTTCATGAGCATTTTACCGTTTCTTTTGAGTAAAACTATTGTCATATCATATACAAACAGAAAAATAAAAGGTCTTCACAGCAACCCATCAAAATAAAATGTACAGATATATATATATATATATATATATTACTTAATGTAGTACTACTACTTATAATACAATTATTATTGAAACATTATTTTTAGATGAATATTTACCAGATTTTTTTTTTTTACCAGAATTTATTTAGCAGAAAAAATTAAATACACAACACAGTATTTCTAGAAGAAACAAAAAATGAAATAATAATAAATTGGTATTTTTTTCTAAAATCAATAAGTTATTAAGACAGGGTTCCCACTCTTTCATGAACACCAGATTCAAGGACTTTTTAAAGCACTATTTATTTAATTTCAAGCACCTATCAAATTCACACCCCAGCATATGTAGCATCATGAAAGACCTGTTACAGTACTTAACTTTTCACTTACACTTAACATTTACATTAAACATTTCAGAGTAATGAGGTTTTGAATGTGTAGGTTTCATAAATTTAGACTTTGAGCAGTCGTGTTCAAAGGAATTTAATTAAATCCATTGAAGTCAATGGAGTTCACACTGGTAATATTCAAATGCAATTTCTCAAATATTAATAAGAATATATATTCTTGCATCAAACTGGTTTTGCTGTAATTCTTGTAAAAGATTTACATTTGAGAGAATTTCTCAATTTTTAAATTAATAAAAAGTGGTTAAAACAGGGCTCTACGCGTACTTTTCTTTTAAAATGTAAAAAAATTTAGGAGCACAGTCAAACATTTCAGGAGCACCTTCTAATCAATAATC